CTTCATTTTTTATAATCTAAGGTGATTTATTTTCTTATGGATGCCTACATAGCATATAATTGTTGCATGACTGTATCGTACATGTATAAGCTATAGATTATGAAATATAGCGTCATGAAGTGATTCTCTTTGAACTATCTAGCCGACTTGCGCCACTGTAGATTATTTCCCAAAACATACTCCAGGTACATTCTTAGAGCATCTTTTTAGAAGATTTTCAGGATGTCCTCAAGGGATCCTCCTAGTGGAGAAGAATTCCCACAATTCCCGTAGGTGCACCTTTGGCGAAGACTATCAATTGTTTCACGTCCCTGTATGCAGTATTAGAAAGAAAATTAGACTCTGTTATGGCCTCATTGTCTAGAATATGTTATGTAGGATTGTTGGGGTTTTGTATATGGGCTGCATTGGAATCTTTTACAGTAAGTGTCTGTGTCTTTGTTTGCAATAAATTCGAACAATAAACGGACAGCACACAATTCACTTGTTTTAAAATAATATATTCAAAACAAGTCAAATATATGTATAAAATATAGGATATCAGAGTTGTTTCTAACACTATAAATAACTCTCTTTTCTTGTCAAAAGTCCACATAAGCTAATTCATTTACTTTAGAATCCAATTGACAAAACGAATTATTTTCTTCTACTCTGTTTCTTACTATACAATCTGCGAAACACACTGTAGATGCCCGGCATGGCCAGGTGGTTAGGGCGCTCGACTCACAATCTGTGGGTCGCGGGTTCGAATACCCGTCACACCAAACATGCTCGACCTTTCAGCCGTGGGGGCGTTATAATGTGACGGTCAATCCCACTCTTTGTTGGTAAAAGAGTAGCCCAACAGTTGGCGGTGGGTGGTGATGACTAGCTGCCTTCCCTCTAGTCTTACACTGCTAAATTAGGGACGGCTAGTGCAGATAGCCCTCGTGTAGCTTTGCGCGAAATCCATAACAAACAAACACACTGTAGAAACACCCTTAAGGCTAATCATTCATACGCCGGCTAACTTCGCGTTTTCTTTCACTAACTAACTTTTTTTTGACTGAACTTCACTTATGCTCACTTGGTCACATATATATATATATATATATATTCCAACTGAGGCCTAGAACTTTCTAGAAACTAAGAGATGCTATGATTAACAATACTCACTTAATGCAACGAGATAAATACCGAAGATTCGAGTAACGTGACGTTAGTTTACAGCAACTGAACTATACACTCAACGTATGACTAGTACCGAGTTACGTAACAAAATTTGTCATAACTATTGCTTTTAGAATAATTACTTTTAACACTCTTGTTACGAAAACTAAATAATCATTAAATATTAGATCGCTAAATGAACTAAATAATAACTCTTACACTAAACAGTCTTGTATATCCAATAAGCTTTTCGGTTTTTTGAACAAATGTTTGTTTCTGAAAAAGTTGTGTATGTTGATGATCAATATAAATACTAGAAACATTGATATTTAGTTTGTTTGCATATTAATTTATAAAAAAAAAAGATAATGGTTTCACAATGCATACATATTTCAGTTTTTCATGGTATGTGTATTTCACACTTACAAAAAAAATAAAAAATAAAATAAAATAAAATAAAGTTCTAATTCAGAACAAGTTCAATCCTGGCGAGGTCGTGTGCCGGTTCAATCCGAGGTGTTACTTTCTGTATTAGGATGCAGTCATGGAAACTGATTTAAGGGATTCGAGAGTCGCTGTTGAAGTCTTTGTTCACTGTCTCTTTCATCCTGCTGATCGTGTACGTACCTTTCCTTTTAGATAATTGTCAACAATAGCAACCAATTTACTTTCAAGGGTAGCTTATTTTAATTTTCTTTTATTAAAACATAATTCATCTATTTATTTCAGACTTAATAGTCATCTATAAGGTAGTCCTACAACTACAGACTAGAGTATGGACTGATCAGCTAACACATGGTTCTTCGACTTTCTCTAGTAAATAGATTGTTTTTGCTTTAACTTCACACCGTATCTTGTCTCGTTCCTTTCTTCTGTTACAATCCACTACATTATCCTTCTGCAGGTTTTTAATTTTGCAGACTTAGAACCCAGGTTATATTTTGTGTGTACTTTAGGGTATGTGCTATTAAAAGAAGTTTGTGTCATAGCTTTTCTTGTTTTCAGGTTAAGGTCTAAATAAGTGTTGTATATCCAGGTGAAACTTAAGATCTATAACGAATAGGTCCACTAGATCGGTGGTTCCCAAACTGAGACTCCCTTGATGTGAATAAAAAAATTTATCATGGTGATTGAAAAATAGTGCCGTAGTAAAAAGAATAGGATCTCCTTTCGACATATTGTATCATTTGATTAATTCAACATAATTTTTATCGGTCTATTGTTTATTTAGAAATAAAATTAATTCAGAATCTTTTTTTTTCGGCCCATTTTTGGCGGCCCCCCGGAGGGGGGGGGCTCCCGCTTGGGAAATACTACACTAGATAACTGGAAATTCACTATTGACAACAGAGTAGTACTAAATTTCGTACTAACTGAATCGATATAAAATGAAGATCGGACAGAAAGCGTAATACAAAATAAACAACCTTTATCACACTTAGACAATAACAGATACCCGTTTCCAAGAACATTCAAGGAACAAAGGTAGCTTAGAATTAAATAACCGCCCCCCCCCTCCCCAGTGGCTCAGCGGTAAGTCTGAGGGTATATAACGCAAATAATTGGGTTTCGATACTCATGGTGGGCATAGCACAGATTGTATAGATTTGTGCTTAATAACAGAAAAGAAATCCACTTAACGACATTATGTGAAACCGGCACATACACAAAACAAATAATATATTCAGCTTGGTTTGGTTTAGTTTGAATTTCGTACACGAGGGCTATCTGCGCTAGCCGTCCCTAATTTAGCAGTGTAAAACTAGAGGGAAGGCAGCTAGCCAACACCACCCACCGCCAACTATTGGGCTACTCTTTTACCAACGAATAATGGGATTGGCCATACCTTATAACGCCCCCATGGCTGAAAGGACGAGTATGTTCGGTGTGATGGGGATCCGAACCCGCGACCTTCAGGCCATGCAATAAATTCAGAATTGATACTATGGTATTACAGGAAGATAGAAACGCATGGTATGTTCAAATACCACACAAACAACATATATAAGCAAGTCTATCAGCTTTAAATTCTCTTATTCCAATAAACCTGATATTACAATTATGACCAGGCTACAGTAAAGCAAAAAAATTACTAGAAATTTTTATTTGGGATTATTTATCTTCATGCATATATAAAAATATGTGTGTTTTATCCTTTTTTTCTATTCCTGTAAACTCCCAGTGAAGCATAGGAAGGTGTTGTTGCAGTTACTTGTAGCAGGTTGGTTTTTACGGTTGCTGGACTTGGGACCAGGCAAAGGCGGAGGTTGGCATGTTTGGTGTGATGGGGATTCGAACCCGCGTCCTTCAGATTACGAGTCGAGCGCCCTAACCACCTGGCCATGCCGGGCCCATACTTTTAATTAGTCTATATAATCTATACATACGTACAAATACACATACACACACACACACACACACACACACACACACACACTCACACACACATATACATACCGTATTTTCGGCGTATAAGACGCACTTTTTACCCCAAAATTTGATGTCAAAATCTGTTTGCGTCCTATACACCGAAGGTAT